GGGCTGGAGGAAGGAGAAGCCTTGCCTTTCTGCCTGAACACGTCCCCTCTCTCCCAACCCCATGAGAGAGGGATGGTGGTGGAATTTTACCCACCCCAGTGGCTCTGAAACCCTATGGAGAGGATCAGGTAGGGGTGGAGGAGGGCCAGTGGCTGGCAGCTCACGTCACTGCTGGTCCCATCAGGGCAGGGAGCCTGAGTTACTTCTTTGGGTCAAGGCTGTGGGTCAGCATGAAGTCAGATGGTGACAAGGGGGAAGTGAGGAGAAATGGCAGGGGGTGTGTCCACTGGGAAAGGTGCCACGTCTCACCCTGGTGTGTGTGTGCTTGTATGTACCCCAGAGGGAAAGTGTGCGTGGTGTGTGCATGGTGCACGTGTGTGGAGGGGAGTGGGAGGCAGGTTCAGGGGCCTGTAGCTGGTTGTCGGTGGAGGGGGGGTGGTGGCACGTATGTGTGGTGCCGTGGGTGCCTCTTCAGGGACACATGGGTAGAGCTTGTGGGCAGTGGGTATTTGGGAGCATTTGGGGTGCTTGCCATGTGCCAGCGTGTGTATGGTGTGGGCGGGTGGTAGTTCTGAGCTGAGGTTGTCCAGGGGCTGTGTGGGTCACAGGTTTAGGAACTCTAGATGAGCAGCAGATTGGGGGTGACCTGGAAGGTTTGGAGAAAGGGCCCAGAGGCTGAGGACTCACGGTCATGTCTCAGTTCTAAACCCCAGGCTCAGTGCCTACCTCTGCAAAGAGGGTATGATGAAGTTGTGGGAGGCGGTGCTGGCTGAAGGCAGTGGCACGGGTTAGAGTGCTTCCAAACCTGACCTGGGAGGGGGCCTCCACAAGGGTGGGCACTGGTCTCTAGAGCCCCCTGAGGACCCTCAGTAGCTCCCCCAGCAATCTCAGAGTTTCCCCTGATGCTGGGGGAGCCTCTGGGTGGGTGTCTTGGCTGGGACAGGTGGTGGCAGGAAGCAGAAGACGCAGGGGCTTCCGCAGTGGGCTGTGTGTGGGGGGTATGAGGATGCAAGTGTGAAAAAAGGTTGTTTACAAGTCGTGAGGTTTGTGTCAGAGTCTGAGGGGTCACTGCCGTGGGGAATATGAATAGCAGTGCTTGGTCATGGGGAGGGTCTGTGTGCGCCACCCGTGTGGTTATGGGATCTTGCCGAGGTTGTGTGGGGTGTATTAGGTGAGGAGAGGGATGCAACTGTGTGTGTGTGTGTGTGTGCAGCTGGGGGGCAGCAAATGGGTGAGCCTGTGGTGGAATGTGCTAGGCTATTGTCTGTGAGTTGGTGGGTACACAGGTTGGGGTTGGTAAATGTGGATCACGACTGTGTGTGAGCATCTGTGCTGGATGTGTGTGTGTGTGTGTGTGCATGCACGCATACAGGCGCTCTTGTTTGGGATATGTTTATCAGGCATGGGAGGGTGTGTGGTTTACCTGGAAGGGACACAGTGAGGGCTGGGGGAGGCCGGCATTTGACTTGGGTGCTCTTTTAAGGGAATTGGTACAGATTATTATGCTAATTATGCATGGAATTATGCAAATAGAGAGGTCGTTTGGGGGTCAAAGGCTGTTTGTCATCACCCCCTCTGGTACTTGTGACTTCAGGCTTTCCCTGCTGTCTCCCGGGTTCTGTTCCCCACCCCCCTCCTCTCTGCAGCCCTCGTAGCTTCAGCCACCGCCATCACCCCTATAGTGTTCCTGGGAGGGCCCTGTGAGCGCTGGTCCCACAGGGAGGGGGGCAGCTGGCACTTAGGTGTGGGGGTTGTGTGGGTAAGATGGAATCCTGCACCCCACCCCACCCCACAGGTCTCAGGTGTCCCAGGGTTAAGTTTCCTGGGGTGAACTCAGGGGTGCCTGGTTGTTGGCCGTCACTCCCTCTACCCCGTCTGGGGGCTGCTCATTATTTGGAAAGAATGTTCTCTTGGATGCAGGTTTGGAAAATCACTGAGGTGGCCCCTTCCCCAGCTTTGTGTCTGATGAGCGTGAGGCTAAATTAAGATGTGAGAGAATTCTCTCCCTCCGCCTCCCACTCTTGCCTTCTTTCTCTTTCTCTGGAACACCCAGCCCTCCCTCCACTCCCTCCTCCCTGTCACCCCCACCCCTGTGACCCCCGGCTTCCCTCTGTCCTTGCATCTCTGTCCCCATCCGGTGCCTCGCCCTCGCGTCCCTGTCATTCTCTCTGTTCTTCCAGGATCTCTCCCTCTCCTGCTCCCCCCGCCCTCCTCCCCCCCACCCCCTGCATCTCTGTGGGGAGCTGGAGCTCCTGGTCCTTAGCGTGGAGGAGATGGTTGTCATGGTAACGGTTGTCATGTCGATGGCTACTGAGCTGGGGATGAATAGTATCTAGGTGAGAGCTACCTGAGCGGAGGCTGACGGGTTCACAGGAGGTTCTGTACTTGTTTCTGAGCCTCAGAGCTGCACCGTGTGTGCCTGCATTTAGTGTTTGCCCCCCCACCCATGTATGTGCCTGTTTGCACCCAAAGGCATGCCAACACGTGGTGCCTCTCTCTAGCTGCCTTTAGGTGAGCGTGTGTCAGGGTATCATCTGGGTATGTCATTTCAAGGCTCTGTGTGACTTTGCAGGGTGGGGGGTTTGAATTTGTGCAAGCCTTTCTGGGAGCAGGTTGTTAGGGGCTGCTGTGTGGTGCTGGTCACTGTGGAATCATGAGGACTTCCTATTTTGGCCCCCCACCTTTACCCCAATTTGGGGGACCCTTGGGACCACAGACTTCTTAGGCCCCCTTCCTCCCAGCTAAAGGGCTTTCAGCTTCCCTAAGCTGCTTGGAAGGATGGAGAGACAGTCCGGGCCCCACCCCTGTTCAGGCCCCATCATGCTGCACGTCTCTGGCTTTACACTGGTGGCCTAAGAATGGAGCAGAAAATCTCTAAGGGACCTTAGTCAAGGTGGGGTCGTAGAGGCTCTTGTGGGGGGGAGCACCTAGCCCCTTTCCTTTGGGTCCTAGGGGATTTATTCCTCTGGTAAGTGGGAGCAGAGATGGCAACTGGAGGTTGGATGGTAGCTGCTCTGATCTCCTGAAATGTCTAAAACGGAGGAAGACCCGGCAATTAGTCATGGAGCAATTACTCTAATTGTTCCACTCCATGACTCACTGGTAGCAAGTAAATACTGATTAATTCATTACTTTGAGGCTGTGTGTGTGTGTGTGTGTTGGGGGGGTGATGGGTAAGCTGGGGGAATCTCCTGGCTCCCCGCCCTGGCCTCCTGCCTGGCCTGGGTAGGGCTTTAGAGCAGGTGGTCGAGGCTCGGGGCCTGGAAGACAGGATCGGGATCCTCTCTCTAGCTCCACAGGAACTCCAGGAAGGGGCTGTCAGGGGCGGGGTGTGAGAGGCTGAGCACAGGTTGTGATGCCGAGCTAGCCCCTCTCCTGCTCACATACCTTCCATGACTCCCTATGTCAGTCAAACAGTAGGGGTATTCAGACTCTGCGTCAGACCTGCTGAGTTCTGTTTTTACAACATTCTGACGTCCAGTCAGAATAAAATATGACCAGTTTCCAAGAGAAAAGTTGCCAGCCGAGCTCTGAGAGCCTGTGATGGGGCTTCCCCAAACTCGACTCTGGCCTGTCCTGCGCCCACCCCACCCCCACCTCCACTTCCCAGGAATTGCATCCTCCAACACCAAGCCCGTTCCTTACCAGATACTTGCTGATACCCACTGTGTGTCTGACACAGTCCTGCTCCATAAAGGTATAGTTTAGTGGGGGTGGGCACGGTCACAGAAGAAGTGTATACCCATGCCTGCCCAGCTCACAAGTGGTGAGAGATGTAAATTCAGAAGCACTGGATAGATGCTCTGAAAGCTCAGAGTAGGAGGGCTTCTCGGAAGAAGGGATGGGGAGTGAGTTAGCTTCTGGGAAGTTGGAAGATGAGAGGATGGGAGGGGAGAGTGTTCCAGGTAGAGGGAACAGCATGAGTGAAAGAGGCAGGAGACACCAGGCAGGCATGTTTCAGGAGCAGATGGGGGCCGGGTGACTGGACTGCAGTGACTACAGGAGTTCTGAGGGACCCTGGATGAGGCCCCCAGACCCAGCTCTGATGGCACAGGCTCTGCTTCCCCACCTTGGAGACTTTGCTTATTCTGGTCCCCCTGCTTGAGATGCCTTGCTCTATTTCTTTTTTTTTTTTTTCTCTCTAGTTCAGTTGTTTAAGACTCAGGTGCTAATAACCCTCTATAGCTGAGCACCAGCTCATCTTTCTCTGAAAGCTCTCTGGGGGCAGGGACTGTGGCCAGGCTCAGTGTGAATTCAGGTTTACGCTCCTGTCTTCAATGTCCTTAGTGCTGGCTCTCGGGCCGGGGTTGCAGTGGGGGGAGGGGGGCTGGTCTGGGCCCAGGAGCCACAACACCCCACCTTCCCAAATTCTGATTCTGGGAAGAGTCTTGGACCTGGAGGGCTGGACTCCCCTCATCCTGGCAGACCGCTAGGAGACCCTTGTGGCAGACATGGAAGTGGCATCCATGCCCTGAGCTGACTCTGGAGCTGACTTTATTTTGGGGAAGACCAGAACTAGGAACTACACTCCCTTCTCTCCCTCCCCCATTACCCAAGTTTCTTCCCTCCCAGAGCCCCAGCCGTCCCCAACACCTGTGTCTGTCTGATGGGATAAATGGGCCTGCCTTTGGGATTTTGAGGTGTGAGGCACTGCATCCCTAGCAGAGTCCGGACCTCATCACATCACGTGCTGTCTGGTGACCTGGGGCAGTGGGGCCTCAGTCTTGCCAGCTGTGGAAGGGGGCAGATGGGGCTGCTCTGTGATGAGAACCCGCTGCTTTGAGGCGCGCCAGCACATACTAGCACACTGGTGCTCACAGCAACCTGCAAGGCAGGAAGTGGTGATCCGGCCTGCCCCTGCCCTCTGTTTGCCTCTGAAGCCACGTCTGGTGCTGTCCCTCCACTGTCACTTGGCCCAGGAGAGGGTCGGTTGCTCCTCTGGGCTGTCCAGGCCGCTGGCCTCGGGTGCTGAGCCCTGTGCCCACCTCTGCCCTCCGCAGGCCCAGCGCTGGCGCAGTGAGAACTTCGAGAGGCCCGTGGACCTCGAGGGCTCTGGGGATGACGACTCCTTCCCCGATGACGAGCTGGACGACCTCTACTCTGGGTCGGGCTCCGGTTGTAAGTACCCCCTTCCGTTTTCCTACATGTCATATCAGCAGTGCCAGCCTCCCACCAGGGCCGCATCCGAGGCTTTGATGGCAAGGAAGAGGAGCCCTCGCAGGGCAGGCTCGCTTAAACGTGGGGTGGGGGAGGGAGCGGTCATTTACGGGCAGCTCCTGCGCCTTAAGCACGTGACGGGCAGCCCGTCTTCCCCCGGGGTGGAACCAGAGCCCAGCACTCCCAGTTTCTCTGTCTCTACGTCTCTGTGTGCACTGTTTGGGTCTCCCTGCAGACCTCCAGCCTCTGTCAGGGAACAGAGACGCTTCTCAGTAACCCAGGTTTCATACTCTTGTGACCACTTGGAGGAATTTAGTGGTCAACGTTTCCGGTGTAGTGAGCAGAGGCCCATTTGATTGGCTCAACTTGGGTCACGTGGGCCCCTTCTGCCCAATTAGCGGTGGCCAAGGGCGGGGTTAGGACAGTGAGGGAAAAATAGGCGGGGCCTCCAGTGGTGCCTGGGGCCAATCAGTTCCATGGTCCCGCCCAGAAAGCCCAGTAGAGTAGCCTGAGATAAGGGAGGCAGGCCAAGTTGAATCTCAGTTTCTCTACCTAATAGCTGTGCCGTCTCTAGCTGTTTTCCCTCTCCGAGTCTGTATTCTTATCTGTAAATGGTGATAAAGTTGCCTTCTTTTCGGAGCTCTTTTCCGAGCCTCTGGGGGCTCTTCCCAGGTGGCAAGTGGTTAAGAACCTACCTACCAATTCAGGAGACGTTAAGAAAGGCTGGTTTGACCCCTGGGTGGGGAAAGTTCCCCGGAGGAGGGACCGGCAACCCACTCCAGTATCCTTGCCTGGAGAATCCCATGGACAGAGGAGCCTGGCGGGCTACACTCCACGGGGTCGCAGAGTCAGGCAGGACTGAAGCGACTTGGCACCCGCTCACGCACGCCGAGCCTCTGGAAGGCTTCAGTTTAAGACGTCAGGGCCTGGCACAGAGATGAAGCTCTGCAACTAGTAGTAAAAAGGGGTGTGTGTTGAGATTGGGGCCCTGGAGGGGACAGGCAGAGTCTAATGGAATAGTGGGGGTCTGTGTGCTTTGGAGCTGGCCACCTACAGCCCCTCGCCTCTAGTTTCCTCACTTTAGCCCATTCCTTTAAGCATCTTATAAGTTATAAATCTTATGAGAATCTTCATAAAATCCATCCTGATGGGTGGTAACATCTCTACTTCCACACCTCTCAGGCTCCTCCCCACCCCTCCTCTGCCTGGTTCAGACCCTCCTGGGAGCTGGTGTGGCTTATCTCTCTCTCTCCTTATTTTCTGCCGAGGCCCTCCCTTCACTTGTCTGGGTTTGGAGTCCAGATTGCTCAAGCAGCCTCTGTGGGAGGGGCTTGTTCTCCTTGCTGTCTGCTTGTGCCTCTGGGGGAACCTTGTTTGCCCACCATGGGTGCCCGGGTAGCTTGTAGGCATGTCTGACTCTTCCCAGAATGCCACAGCCATCCTCCCCTCCCCTCCCCTGCCTGTAACCTCCAGCAAGATCTGAAGCCAGTAGGGCCTGAGTTGCCACTGCCTAGATTCAGTCTGCTAGAAAAGCTCCAGACTGGGTGGGCTGGAATAGTCAGGGAAAACTTCCTGGAAGAGGTGGTCCCTTAGAATTTTTGGCTAGGCAGAGAGGAACTGGGACGCATCACTAGCCATCAGTCAACTGGTAAGCTTTGACCAGACTGTGCCTTCCTCCTTTCCCTCCTCTTGTCTTGGGAAAATTATGCAAAGGGTGAGGGTTGGGAGCCTCCCATCTTGATGGCCGTTGCTGATCTGGGATCCTCATGCCCTCAAATCACCCAGCTTCCTAGCTCTCTCCTTCTCCCCCTGACCCCCTCAGACTTTGAGCAGGAGTCGGGCATTGAGACAGCCGTGAGGTTCAGCCCAGATGTCGCCCTGGCCATGTCCACCACCCCCGCGGTGCTGCCCACCATGGACATCCAGCCTGTGGGCACCCCATTTGAAGAGCTCCCCTCTGAGCGCCCCACCCCGGAGCCGGCCACCAGCCCCCCACTGGTGACAGAGGTGCCAGAAGAGCCCAGCCAGAGAGCCACCACCGTCTCCACCCTGACGGCCACCACCACTGCCACCACCACGGGGCCCCCGACGGTGGCCACAGTGCCCGCCACAGCGGCCACCGCCGCGCCCAGCATCCCCGCGGCACCCCCGTCTGCGGCCACCACCTCTGTCGTAAGGACCACCGGCGTACGGAGGCTTCTGCCTCTGCCACTGACCACAGCAGCCACAGCCCGGGCCACTACCCCAGCGGTGCCCTCACCTCCCACTACGGTGGCTGTCTTGGACACAGAGGCCCCAACTCCCAGGCTGGTCAGCACAGCTACCTCCAGGCCAAGGGCCCTTCCCAGGCCGGCTACCACCCAGAAGCCTGACATCCCTGAGAAGAGCACGCTGCCCCTGGGGACCACCGCCCCTGGACCCACGGAGGTGGCTCAGGTGAGCTGATGTGGAGAGGACAGGGAGTCAGAGCAGAGGAGGGTGGGTCGGGGCTCGGGGGTCAGGGGGTGGCATGGGGAACGGGGTGGGAGGAGGAGGATGGAGCTGGACAGGGCTGAGATCTAGAAGGTTCTGGAGATGAGCCAGACAGGGAGCAGGAGGGTGAGAGAGGTGTGAGGCCAGGACTGGGGCTGAGTCACAGGATGAGGACAGAGGTCGAAATGGATGGGAATGGAAGAGGGACCGGGCCAGAGTCTTTAGATGTTAGGTCAAGACATTAATGGGGAAGGAACTGGGAGGATGGGAGTGTTAAAAGGGGAAGGGGCCAGGGGCCTGTGTGTTCTGGTTAAAAGCACAGACTCAGGAGCCCTGCAGCCAGGATTTTGGAATGCTTCCACCACCGTGTGACTTCAGGAAGTCACTGATCCTTTTTATACCTTTGTTTCCTTATCTGTGAAAAGGAGAAAAGAATAGAATGCAAATCATAGGGTTGTGAGAATTAAGTTTCCCAACAGAGCCAAGGTTCTTAGAGCAGTGCCTGGCAATACTAAACAAGCAAAAAGTTTCACTTTTGTTATCACCACCACCATCATCATCATCGTTGTTGTTATCCATCTGAGGGGGATTAAGAGCTGGGCCGTAGGAGAGGAATACTGCAGGTCACGTTCCTGGAGTGCTGCCTGGGTAGAGGCTCAGTGCTAGACACTTAGCTGTGCCACCATCTCCTCTCCCTCTCATGCCTACCCTACGGAGCAGGGTGGGCATTGCCATCATCCTCCCTTAAGGTGGGGCCACTTTCCAAGCCTTCACAGGCAGCAGTGGCAGAGTCAGGATTTGAACCTGGCAGTCAGCTCTAGGGGGGGTGTGTGTGTGTGTTTGGGGTGTTATGGGTGGGGTGTGTGTGTGTTCGGGGTGTTATGGATGGGGGTGGTAGTTCAGGGAAGAGGATGATGATACCAGGAATGCCAGGATGGGGAGGGGGTCAAGGAAGTGGGAGAAATAGACTGATCCTTGCTGGTGCTGCTGGGCAAGGAGGGGATGTAGTGACATTGACTGGGGTACTAAAGCCCTTTGCATCTGCCTCATGGAGGAGAACCCCCCAGGCTGTGGAGCTGCCTTTGGGTCAGCATCAGCCCGTCCGACTCCCCAGCCAGCCCCAGCAGGACACGGGCCCTGCTCTAGGCTCCTCTGAGCAGTTAGAGGAACCTGGTGTTTCACAGATGTTTGGCCAGGCGGGCTGGGGACGCAGTGCTGGGGCACTGAGAGCAGGTCGCTGGTGCAGCCTCTGTGCATGTGCATGGCCTTTCCTCGGCCTGGACACCGGACCCATTCTCTCCATGCACACCTGTGAAGCAGCTCCATCCTTGCTGCGATCCCCGCTCTAGTTGGGATCCTGCCTCCAGATGCTGGGAGCCATCGAGATTTGTGGTGCTCTTGGACTGACCTTGGGGCTTCCCTGTGGCTCAGCCGGTAAAGATTCCGCCTGCAATGTGGGAGACCTGGGTTCGATCCCTGGGTTCCCTTGTAGCTCTGTTGGTAAAGAATCTGCCTGCAGTGCAGGAGACCCGGGTTCGATCCCTGGGTCAGGAAGATCCCCTGGAGAAGGAAATGGCAAACCCACTCCAGTATTTTTGCCTGGAAAATCTCATGGACAGTGGAGTCTGGTGGACTGCAGTCCATTGGGTCGCAAAGAGTAGGGCATGATTGAGCGACTTACGCTTACTTACTGGACTGACCTTCAGGCTACAGGACTCACCCTTGCCTCAGGCACATGGATTGAGGATCAGGCCCAGATATTTAAACTCTGCACCCAGCTGTCCCCAGACAACAGTCCCTGATAGCAATCTGCTAAGGCAGCTGCCAAGAAAGGCAGCTGGAGAAGGAAAGGATGGGATGGGTACCAGGATGTGGCCAGGATAACAGAGGTAGTGTAGTGTAGTGGTTAGGGCCACATACTCTGGAGTTGGACAGATCTGCATTTTAGTTCTGCTTCTACCACTTACTAGCTGTGTGTCCTTGGGCAAGTCACTTAACCTCTCTGAACCTATTTCCTACTCTGTAATGTAGGGGTGCTAATACCTTCTTAATGGGAATATTGTGAGGGGAAAAGGCCCATGATGTGCTTAGCACAGTGCCTGGCCCATGGTGAGTGCTTAGTGAGTATCAGCCCCCCCAGGGAAGTGGAGTGGTGGCAGTGGGCTAGTGTGCATGTGTGTATGGCTGCCCTGTGGCAGGGGTTCTGGGCCTGGCTCCTGGGCTCATGCTACCCTCCCTACAGACCCCAACTCCAGAGTCCTTCCTGACCACCATCCGGGATGAGCCAGAGATGCCAGTGAGCGGGGGACCCAGTGGGGACTTTGAGCTGTCGGAGGAAGAGACCACACAGCCAGACACAGCCAATGAGGTGGTGGCTGTGGGTGGGGCCGCTGCCAAGCCATCACCTCCACCCGGGACGCTGCCCAAGGGTGCCCGCCCAGGCCCTGGCCTCCTGGACAATGCCATCGACTCAGGCAGCTCCGCGGCTCAGCTGCCCCAGAAGAGCATCCTGGAGCGGAAGGAGGTGCTTGTAGGTGAGACTTGAGGCCTGAGAGAAGGGGGCAGCTGGTGGGGCTTCAGTTTGCCCCCCCGGGAGCCCAGGAGGGAGGGTAGGGTGTGGGTTTCCTAGAAGCCTAGTTTTCTAGGAAGGGAAAGCTGGGGACTTGGGGACCCGGGGACCCACCCTCTAGTTCCTCTTCTGACCCTCTGATCCCAGACTTTGTTCTACCTCCCGCTCTTTCCTCAGCACCCTCTGACCTCTTCTCAGACTCTGCCCTTGACCTCTGCTTCCCTGGGCCATGCTTGTTTATCCCTCCTGGACCTTATCCCCTGGATCCTAATCTAGGGCCTCATCCTTGGCTTGATCTGCTCCCACCCTTGATACCAGCCCCAAGGACCTGCCCTTGGCCTTCTCTCCTGAAGTCTCTGGATTTGTGGTCCAAACCCTGTTCCCCACTTATGAGCATCGTGGCCTCGGGAAGGTCCTTCACCTTTCCAGGCATGCTTTTTCCTCATCTACGAAATGGGGGTTATCATTTTGCTCTTAATCAGTCTCAGCGCACGTGTGGGATGAGTTGGGATGTGTCCTAGTTTAGATGGCAGAGTTTTTTCTTTCCTAAGGGTATATAAAATACTGGAGCATCTTCTTATTGATGGCATCTCACATTTGATGAGGACCGTAGCACAGCACCTCCCTAGTAGCACTGTATGAAGATTCCACGTGTTCATATGATTAGAACAGATGACTAGAGCAGTGCCAGGCTGTGGCGAGGAGCATCAGTGGCAGCCAGTGCTCGTGTTTTAGCATTGACTCCAAACTTCACTCCGACTCTGGTCTCAAGTTTGAGCTTCCCAGCTCCCTCCCAGCTCTTGCTTCTACCTTCAAGGACCCTCTGCCCTTTCCTCAGGCTCTAAGGTTGTCTTGCCCTTCCTGTGGCCTTGACCTTTGCCCTCTTTCTCCGCAGCTGTGATCGTGGGTGGGGTTGTAGGCGCCCTCTTTGCTGCCTTCCTGGTCACCCTGCTCATCTACCGCATGAAGAAGAAGGACGAGGGCAGCTACACGCTGGAGGAGCCCAAGCAGGCGAGCGTCACATACCAGAAGCCTGACAAGCAAGAGGAGTTCTACGCCTAGCGGAGCCAGAGTGCCTCCCTGTAGCCTCAGCGCCACCCCTATGTCCAGTCCCTGGCCTGGCATCCCCAGCCCCGGCCTGGGACTGGGCCTGGGAGACATCCTGGCCCCACTTCATCTCTGCCACCCTCCCAAGGTCTGCCCAGACTGCCAGCCTCACGCAGCTCTTCCCCAAGGGACGGGGGCACTGCCGTCTGCTCCAGACTGTACCCTTATGAGCTCATCACTTGTTCCACATAGTCCTCCCCCAGCCACCAGCTTGGAGCTTTAGGACCTCACATCAGATGGACAGGAGGAAGGGAACTCCTGATTGGCTGGTGGACGAAGGGGTGGGACTTCAGCCCCAACCTGGCCCCACAGGGCTGGCTGAGGTTTCGTTTTGGAGGCAGAGAGGCACTCGGGCTGGTTTCCAGGACAAGCGTTTGGCAAGCCCAGCCCTTGAAATCATTGGGACACTGCACTCTGTTGCCCCTGTCCCAGGCTCACTCTCTGCCTGGGTGAGACGTTACCCCTCACCCACCAGCCTGTTTTGTCCTGGCCCCTCTGGGGTTATGGGGTCATTTTCCCTCACCTCTGCTCAATGCACATGCACCCACAGGCTTCACTTCCTTCCTGGCCTGCCTCAGCTTCCTGAGAGTGCTCCGGCAGCCACTGGTGAGGAGGGGTCTGCACCTCCTTCCTCCTAGTGGATTCTGCACAGACACCGTCTCTCACATGGTTACACGTATTGTCACACACAAAGAGGAAAGCACGCAATGACAAAACCACACACGATCTTGACCACCTAGCTAATCCAGATATGTCACAGACACACACATTCTTCCAAAGATGTTTATTCTTATGTTTCTTATGTGCCCCCCTGCCCCAAATGCTTATGACAATGCAAGTCACTAATCATCATAACCTAATGGTAATGGTGTGGCCTGCCTCTCTCTCTGCCATCCCGCCACCCCTACTCCTGCCCACCCACATACAGTCCGACACCACACGTGTTGACTCCAGCTTTCAGGCTCACTGGGGAGGGTGCAATTAGGCCGAAACAATCAGCCCATATTGGGTCCCTGAGTTGCCCCTTTTCACGCTCAGCCTTCACGACTCCTCACCAACCACATTGCCACCAAACCCCAGCAAGTCAGATGCAATCCCACGTGGGTGCACAATCTCACCCACACCCACTCAGCCCTGCTGTCACGCTTGGACACTTGCCTTTCCTGGAATTAAGTGCAGTGTGGGGGACATGGCTACAAGCCCCCTCAGGGCCTTGCACACCTGCTGAACCTGGCTTCACCTTACCTGCTCCCTCCCCTCTGTAGCCTGCAAAGGGCTTGGTTGGGGGCAAGTTCCCCACTTGCTGAGGAAGGCAGGCTGGTTCCTGGAATTCAGTCTTGGGCTGGAGAGGGGGCTTGGGTCTCCCAGGACCAAAGGCTCCTGGTGGGGAGGGGGCATGTGGTGAGGCTCCTGGTCTCCTTCCATCCTCCTCTTGCTCTGAGCTAGGGGGTCGACTCTGCCTCCCAGGACACAAGTCTCCAAAGTGCCTGTGAGGGTGGGCCTGGCGCCTGGGCCCTCTGCACCCTCTCCCTTTGGCCTCACCAGGCCCACCTCAGCCCCACCCCTGGGCCTTCTTGGGGACGTTCCGGTGGACCTGTGCCCATGCATTTGGCCAGACAACCTGGTGTTTCTCCTGGCTGCAGCTAGAAGCAGTCCATCCAGACACTGTCCCTGGCTGAGGGCTGAGGACAGGCGGGGTTGGGGATATTCCAGGCCCCAGCCCGCCTCCCTCTTCTTTGTTACCCTTAAAATGGGGCCACTTCTGTAGATATTTTAAACGTGGGGTCACAAATCTCCCATGGGGGCTGTGCTTTGAGAGGGGTCTTGGAGCCATGGGATGTGGTCTGCATTGTGGGTGGCTGGAGCTTACCCCTCCACCCCTTGCCCACAACCCTGGTTAAAGTCAGAAAGCCGGGTTTTATTTCTGTTCCCTTTTGAAGACTGGCTGGCAGGAGGCTTCTGCAGGGTGAGGGCTGGGGGTGCCAGAGGTGTTGAGGGTGAGGTTCCAAGGAGCTCCCACAGCCTGTCTTTTCCATCATCTTCCTAGGCTGAGGCTCCATCTCTCAGGCCTATAGGCCACCTTGGCAAGTCCTGGAGGCTTGTGAGGAGCCCACCTGGTCCGAGTCTTTTCGGGGCAGGAGCAGGGGGAGGCATCCTAGGCTCACAATCTGTTGGAGGTGACCTGGCCTCGGTCGTTCCTGGAGCGGAAGGGCTGGGGGACGAGGGAGACCAAAGCCGGCCCCAGCCTCCCCTCCCTCTACCCTGCCCCTTGGCAGGCTGCTGTCTTGGGGCAGCAGCTCTGGTGAGAAGGCCTGGGCAGGCCGAGGCTGAGAAGCTAGGGAGCATGGCGGAGAGAGGATTTGGACCATCCAGGGATGCTGGGACCGGGGTAGGAGGCCCAGCAGTTGGGGGGTGGCCTCTGCACAGCCTCTGGTCGGGGCGGGGTCCAGCACAGGATGGCTGAGCAGGGCCTGGGCTGGCTGGAGTGGGCTCAAAGGGGCCGCATGGGTCCAGCCTGACCCCAGCAGGCCTGACTCCTCACCTTCTGTGGGCCGGCCTCTAACCTGGGGCTTGGCTTTGCCACCCGCCGCCCGATGCCTCTTCTCTGCATCCTTAGCGTTGGAGAGAAGAGACTGAGGGCTTCATTCATTGAGCCCTGGCCCCGAGACAAATGTCCAGGCTTAATCTCCATGAGGCTTAAAAGCAGTCCAAGTCCAGCATAGTGATCTGAGAGCAGGCAGTGAAAAGGATGAGCTGGATGTGAGTGCCCACCTCAACCTGCCTGGACACAGGGTGTGATGCATGCAGGGCCTGCCCAAATATGTCCCCAGGCACCTGGTGCTCCTGGGGAGGTGTCCTGCAGGGCCTAGTGTTTCCAGGAAACACGGCCGATTCCAAAAGAAGAGGGGCTTGTGTGCTTGACAGCCTCTCTGGGGCCTCAGCTGCCAGAGAGGACAAGGCGGGCCGGGGTCACCCCCCACCCCCAACTGTGACTTCTAGAGCCCAGGCTCTATCTCCCTAGGGATCGAGAGGGGTACCTCCCCAGAATGGTCGGTCCCCTCGATATGAAGCAGACGGGTGATCACTGGGGCCCAGGCCGGGCAGGTCGGTGGGCAGTGGCTTGGGGTGCTCAGGCCAGACCCACCTGGGGTTGGCAAAGCCATCTGTCCAGGCCTCCAGGCTGGGGCCCTGGGCACAGGGAGCAGACGCATCTCTGCCTCAAAGGGCAGAAGGGGCCACCACCTCCTTGGCGCTCCTGAATTCCTTCTCCTGCCAGCCACCACCCTGGACTTGCTTCCCCAGGCCTCTTGCCTGTAAATAGAAGCCCACAAACTGTGTACAGATTTACAGAGATGCTGAGGCTGGGCCCCAGAGTCGCCATCAAAGGGCTCGTGGCCCCAGCATCCCCCGGGTGCCCAGCAGGCAGCTCAGCGCGGTGGCCCTAGTGTGGTGAATGCATGTAAATATTTTTCGTAGGCAGTGCGGCTCCAGAGAGCCCCCTGAAGACTGTGTCCACCCCCCCCCCACCCCCGCCTCCCGCCACGTCCTTTCTCCTGTACAGATCCTCCAAGAACCCAGCCTGGGGCGGGGGGAATTTGTCCTTCCCTCCCCCAGGCCGCCTTTGCCCCTTCTTCCCCTTAACCTGTTTATTAACCATACCTGTCCCGAGTTCATGGCCAAAACTTTCAGTAGGAAAAAGCGGTGGAAAAAGACTGGAAAAAGAAACCAAGGCACCTGTCCCACTGTGGGTGCTTACCTGTCCCAGCGTTGTGAAGGAACTGTTTGTTTCTTTTTTTTTTTTAACACTTCCCGTGCTGTGCCCATTTATAAGAGGAAATAAAATTAAGCTGAAATGATGCATTGTGGTCAGAGTGTGAGATAATCATGGAAGTCATTTGGGGAGGGGCAGTCCGTGGCCCCACTTGGGTCTCAGCCACATCCCCCTTTAAAGGAAATTGAGAAGCAAGCAGAGAAAATTGACCGACAACCCCTCTTGGGAACCATTATGGCAACAGCTGCTCTTGCTTTAGAGTGTTCAGGAAACCACGGAGCTGACTGCGGCCAGGCTGAATGGGGGCTGCGGTTGGACAGGGGCCAGGACGTGGTGGCGTTGGGGGCTCTGTGGTCCACCCTCGGGGGAAGAACTGGTTTCAGGCCACAAGGAGAGAAATCTGGAGCTGCAGGATATTGGAATCGGTTGGCTGAAGTGAGATGTCTTGAGGTTCTGAAAGGCCTGGTTTCAAACCCAGGTGATGTTTCCTAATTCTGACTTAGCCTGAGCCTTAGCTTGGCCTGAGCCTCAGTGTTCTCACCTGAGAAATGGGATAAGCATTAACGACACCCCCCCAGATGGAAGGTAGTGGGATTATGAGAGGAGGAACATTTAGCAGAGGGCCTGGAACTATCAGCTCACAGGGTCTTGGATAATGGCATTGAAATAGAACAGAACCCCGGGCTGGGAGGAGTTCTGGGGCCTGGGAGCCTGGATGGCCTCCTGGGGTTGCAGGGTCATGGAGCTGGGAGGGCGTCAAGAGTCAGCCTTGGGCTCCTCAGGGTAGAAATCCTTTCTTCAGCACCTCTTGGGGGATTTCCCTGCACTGCTTGCATACCTCTTGTAACAGGGGCTTGGTGCATCCTGGAGACTCTGCCTGTTGAGAAGTCCTTCTTTATTTTTAGCCAAAATCTGCATCTCCTGTGTTTCCTTTCTCTGCCCCCTCACCATGAGATAGCCCCAGGCATGAGTGTCAGGGTCAAAACCTTTCCTCCTCCAAAGGAGTCCTCTGCATGTCCTCCAGAGATTTACTCCTCTTGCAGGGGGATGTGCATACGGGGCCCTGGTGGTTCTGGGGTGGGTTAGAGGCTGAGGCCCCTGGATTTGGTTCAAGATCCTGCCAATTGCACCTTTCTCCTTCACTCAAGTGCCTTGAGTGCCTCCCTGTGCCATCCTGGGGAGCACTTACAAATACGGGGGCGAGAGCCAATAACCAGGGTCTCATAACTGTGTAATGATGCTGGTCTGGGGGGGTCTTTCCTGCTCAGCCACCATCTCCAACCACCCCCCGCCAAGCATCCCTCTTACTGCCAGACAGTTCAGGATCAGAGCTCCAAGCCCCGGTCTTCACTTTGGGACCTCAGACCACATGGCCCCTGACAGTCTCGGGCGGCGTGGTTGTGAATTGGGGTGAAGGAGCCAGCGATGTCACTTTAGGGTCTTACAGAGGACTGGGCCCCAGTTTGAAGCTCGTTATGATGTGAGGGGTTGGTTTGCCATCATTCAAGTCCCAGCTCCTGATGTGATCCCTCCTCCAGGAAGCTTTGGGAAGTGGGTTCCATCTTCCCTGAGTTCCTATAGTCTAGAGTTATCTCCCCTCCTGCAGGCACCCCCTCACCTTCTTACTTGAATTCGAGTGGCATGCATCATGTTGCATTCTCAGAGTCTGATCCTGAGGCCGAGAACACCCAGCTGTGAGCACTTGGGCACAGTGCTCTACCTCTCTCGGCCTGTTTCCTCACAAGTAAATGTGAACAATAAGGTTGGTATTTGGAGACCCCTGTGAGGATTAAATGAGATAACACTGAAAGCAACTAGCATGGAGCTCGTCTGCCCTATGTGGCTGCCAGCTGCGGGACTTCAGTT